AGTGGTGTAAATCAGATGAGGATATTCAAAAATTTCAAGGAACTTTTGGAAAATTTGAAATCACAAAATTTTACAAAAATCAATAACATAGAAACTTTTCAACTCTGTATACAACCATTCCCCACGATAAATTTAAGTCCAGGTTTTTTGACATCATTGACAGCTGCTTTTTCAGTGAAAATTTACTTACCTTGTCATAGGTCATTTGCAAAATTATTTTGTTAGAAATAATTCTGATTGTACACACAAGTACTCTGAAGATGATATTAAAAAGATGCTTGAGTTTCTGATTGACAATATCTATGTGGATTTTGGGGACCAGGTCTTCCAACAATCTGTTGGAATTCCCATGAATACCAATTGCGCCCCCTTGTTAGCAGACCTTTTTTGTATTCATATGAAGCAGAATTTATTCAAAATCGTATACATGAGGAAAAGAAATCTCTTGCTGTAGCCTTCAACTCAATATTTAGATATATCGACGACGTATTATCAATTAACAATAGTTATATCCATTCAGATGTGGACACGATATATCCAAGTGAGCTTGAAATAAAAGATACCACAGAGTCTGACACATCTGTTTCATATTTGGATATTTTACTAGAAAAAGACGTTAATGGTAATCTAACAACAAAGCTTTATGATATGATGACATTAACTTTTCAATCGCCAACTTCCCTTACTTATGCAGCAATATACCCTTATCACATATGGGGTGTACATCTCTCAATTGATTCGATGCTCAAGAGCATGCTCTACGTATGAACAATTTCTAAAACGAGGTAAGTTATTGACAAACAAGATGAAACAAGAATATGAACAGAGTCGTTTAAAGTCATCATTTCGTAAGTTCTATGGTCTAAACAATGACCTTGTCAGCAAATACAATCTATCATTAAGTCATATGCTGACCGACGTTTTTCATACTAATTGTTAAGCCATTATTTACACACTGAATTGTCGACGGAATTTCCGTTATTTACCGATTATGAAAAGGAGCACAGGACGGGTGTGACCGATCGGCAGAGGATGCTTACTCCTCCATGGCACCTGATCCCACCTCTGCTATTGGAGGTCCGTGTTTGCTCTGCTCTCGGTTTGTATTGCTTCAATGGACTTTGAGCTTGAATACTGTTCGTTATCTCCATATTTCATCCAATAGAAGTGGATCAATTTTCTTATGATAGCTACAGTTAGAAAATGTTTGAAATTGTGAAAGGATTGCATCGGTGTTTCTGCATGTAAATAATATACCAAGTTTTTACGAGAGTCAAAGAGTTTCTCTTAAAAAAGCGAGAATATTATCTCGTTATTACGAAATGAATTAATTAATAACGAGAAAAGTAGTTCGTAATAACAAGTCAATTATATCGTAAAAGCGAGAAAAAAACTCGTCCTAACATCTTCAATGTGTTTGCTTCATCTTTGTGGTGCACTAATGATAAAGTGCAAATTTCTTTTCTTTTAAAGCTTTCAGAAACCTGATATTTGAAGGTATGAACCTTTATGCACAATGAAGGTCAAGGTCATTTCTTGAGGTAAAAGGTCAAATATGGTGACACCATTTACCTATTGAATGTTCTTAAAACTCAAAAATATCTTAAACAATTTGGTTTTTTTTGAAATATTTCAATTTTTGTTTCATGCCATTCACAAGTCAAGAAGGAAATTGATAATAAATAAATAAATATAATAATAATAATTAATAAAAAAAAACTCTCTTAATAACGAAATAGATATTGTTATATAGTGAGAAAAACATTTTTTTCCTTTCACGAAATAATCTTTCACTATTTTTTAAAGTGAGATGCCTCGTATTCGTACAAATACACTAACCTATTAACCGAAAAATTATATTTGGGAAGAAAGTTTTGCCTTCATAAATGTTTAATATTTCAATAAAGAATAAAATGAAAAGTTCCCTTTTTGAGCTCTGTTTACAAGTAGATGATACATGTATTTTGTTCGTCCGTCATTACAGTATGTTGAACCTATATGTGCCTTAATCTAGTTTTCTTTATAAGAAGTGAGAGGAAATTGCAGGAGGGAAAGGATCTTATCCATAGTTTACACAGTTGGACAATTAAACAAGTTTGATGTCCAAAAAGTACATTGCTTGGCTGGACAGATTATTTTATCTATGTCCGTTATTCGTTACTCCTTTCATGTGACATAACGTAACCTTTTGCACTCGGTCTCGCTTTTAGTGTATTGTTGCAAGCTGCCGAATTAAAGATTGAAATTCAATTTTCGATTATTATTATTTACTTTTAAGAGTTAAAATTTGAATTTCATAAAAATCTTTAGCCATGTAGAGTTTTTTGGGGTGTTATGTGGCTGTAAGCTTGACATTCAGATCGATTTTAGATCTTATAATTGCCAAGCATAAGTCAAATTTAAGAACCTGAATTGGAATGGTGTTAGAACAAACTTTTGTTTCTTTTATTATTAAACTGCAAACATTGAGGTGATTTTAATCAGCTATAAGATGATAGATTGCTAATATTAATAAAGTGAAATATGGAGATAACAAACAGTAATTAAGCTTAAAAGTCAATTGAAACAATACAAATCGGGAGTAGAGCAAACACGGACCTCTAAAAACATCAGAGGTAGGATCAGGTGCCATGGAGGAGAAAGCTTCCCTTGTCGACCGGTCACACCCACCGTGTGATACTTGTCATGATTGAGCAAACTGAACAATCCACAGACAATTCAGTGTGTAAAGAATGGCTTAATAATATGTATGAAAAACATGTCAGCATTCGACTTAATGATAGATTGTATTTGCTGGCAAGGTCATTGTATCGATCATAGAACTTGCGAAATGTTGACTTCAAACGAGACTGTTGATATCATTGTTTCATCAACTTGTTTGTCAATAGCTTGCCTCATTTAGAAATTGTTCGTACGTACAATGTAGAGCATGCTCTTGCGTAAAGGTGGCCTCTTGGACTTATATATTTTTATTTTAAAAATTACATTATCGCATTCACACATATAGTTTTCATTATGTGCTGATGATATCATTGTCTTTTTGTAATTGTTTAAGTTAATTTACTGAAAGATAGCAGATTATAACTTTGTCTTGCTCTCTCTTGCTTATACAGCAAGTAAAATAATGATTATTTTGCCAAAAAAAAAAAAAAAAACAAAAACAAAAACAAACCCCAGGTTATATAAATGACCATCATAATATCATTTGTTTGAACACATAATCATGATCATATTTGTCCTAAAAAGAATGTCGTGTCTAGATTGAACTTTTCAACTTTTTTTTCTTGTGAACTGTACTTATTAAGTTTTTGTAACCCCCGCACCATACTGAGAGACAAGAGAACAGATGTAAAAAACATCAATTTTATCATGTTTGTACAAAAGGTCATTAGATACACTCCATAGCAAAAAGAAGAAAACATAAATCATACAAAAATAATTGTATCAATCGGTCCCTTTCCACATTTGGCTCTATTTCGTACATGTTACGAGTTTAGCCTATTAATGATACTTTAACAATTCAATGCTAACTCACGCTTTTTATTAAAATGTAAATTTAAAGATGAAGCAAAATGTTCTAAGTTTTATGAAGCGAGAATCAAAAAGAACAGTTATGTAAATGAAGATGTAAAATGTGATTTAGTGTTACATTGTGTCTTAGAGATAACATTTAGTGATAAAATTAACTGCTAAGTTCATAAATCAAGATGTTGTCACTGAAACTAATGGAATCTAGTTCGTCTTGGTGTGTACGCATATAATTATATCGAATTTCTGTTAAGTTAAAGATGTGATTTAGAATTCCGAAACGTTGTCCTATTTTAGATTATGTATCAATTGACAGCTTCAACATTTATGGAATACCTATTTTTTGGAGTCTTTACATTCATTGAACTCTCCGTGGTTTATTAATGAGTCTCTAAAAGTCGAATATCGATGTTATTTTTTTTTTACATTGTTGCAGTTTCTAACAAACTATATTAAGTTAGTAAATTTGTATCAAAAATGTGTTGAATTAATCATTTGATATCACTCTTTTAATTGGAAAATAAGTTTTAAGCTAAGTTCCAATCAGTAACTCGACAGCATTTTGATAAAGATATAGACATTAAAGTAATTTGTATATAGATCTTAAATTAACGATTGTCATATTATTATGCAACGAATGCTGAATTTGACTAGAAATAGAATTTTAAGCTAAAGTTCAAATAAATAGATTATTCATAGATCATTTTATTTCAAAATAACTAGATATGAACTTTAACGTGATTTTAATATTCTTATGATATATTATGATAAACATATTCCATCTGTAGAAGAAAAAAATTCAAAAGTTCAAATGGTTAAGATTACATTTTAAGAAGTCTTTTGGAAATTAATACTGTTTTTAAAAATTCAAAAAACGTCTGAAACATTTCCTTTATATTAATTTGGGAGAAAATACAGAATCAGGCATTCATGTTTTAATGAATACAACTTGTCATACAGCTGCATTCCATTGCAATCTTCAATATCTTTTACTATAAGGATCACAGGTATTTAACATATTTTGCATGAAATGTTTGGGTGTCTGTGACTACTTCAAGACAGTTTATTAATATTTGATCGTTGTAAAATAGCTTTGAGGGGCCAATAGTTTCGCCGGATTTTGAATATCACGCAAGTAATTTTTTTCATTCATGTTTAATTACCATGTATTCATAAAATATCCCTTCCAAATATGACAGGTCACGCGCAACAGTACAGTTATGGCTTTTTTCATACATATGATATTAACATCTTTTACGATTGTTGCTTTTTATTTCAATTGTCCATACAAATGTTTGCAAAATAATTATTTCTTGACATCATAATTCCTGTTCTTAATCGACACTCAAAACCTCATATCGGAACTTGTTTTGGTCATAGGAAAGCAAAACAAAATCTTAAAGAATGGAAAAATAGTTTTATTAGAAAATAAAATAAATAATATAATATAACAAAAAAAGTATTAACAAGAATAGATAACAAAGATAGAGATCACAGCCAGGTAATTCAAAGAGAATAACAATAATAGTTGTTCATGTTCATGCTCAAGCAATACAATAATATTTGTTCATGTTCATGTTCAAGCAATACAATCACACGTAGGACATCCATTTGAATCAGTTTGATATCCTTTATCACATTCTTGTTCACATTTCCTGAAATAGCAGTAGTGCTTGTTGGGAATGGTCAGCTCTGCTACAAGAAAAAGAAATATGGAATAAAATTATGATTTATGCAGGCTTGTGGTATGTAGATGTGTGTACTTTACAGTGCAATGTCGTACAATCTTGATATGCCAGGTGTTAGAATTTTGATCCATTACCTGTGGTTGTTGGTGGCACAAATATGTTTTAAAGTGCTTCTGATTAGATATATTAAAAGAATTTCCCAAAAGGATCGATGCTTTAAAGAAAAGGGTGAAAATAATGAAGAATGGTCAATCTCATAAATCCTAAAAATGATATAAATCGTGATCAGGGCAATCACACGGACCCTCTGGAAACACCAGTTAGGATCAGGTGAGGAGCTGTATGTTTGTGGTATGTTTGGCAAAAAATATAAACCTTGATATTTTTATTTATTTATTTATTTTTTTTTTTTACAAATTTTATAAACTTTATATAAAAACTTTTTTTTTACAACAAATTGTTCTCTGATGAAGGCAACCCTGAAAACCTCTCTGGTTGGTTTCCAGTGCAATGAATGGTTTTTCAAAGCGTTTAAAATTCTTTCTGTTAAAAAATAAATAATAAATTGTTAACGATTGTTAACAATAAAAGAAACTGACTCTGACTTTAACTATGTTATTCCTCATTGACGGTAAATACAATACCTTTTGGTGGTTCACACTGGCACTCGTTGCAGATATCAGTAACAACATTGTGTTTTGACATACAGTACAATTCACAGGACTGACATATCTTCATTTCGGGGGGTTCTTGTGTTGCTTCACTTGTCTTGTATGGTGTTGGTGCTGCAAAAATCAAATTAATCAATAAACATTGGTTGCAGTTTACATTACACTGGTCTAGTTTGTCTTTTTGAATTTCTCATGTTGCATATAAAAAAATAATCTTTGTGATGATTTTTGCAGCATGCACAAAATACAGCATGGAAACCTGATTCAGGGTACAGAATGAAAATCAAAGACAAAGCTATTAAATCCCAAAATTAGACATAAGCATGTTTTATAATTGTAATGACTTGAAACTAAGGAGTAGTCATTTATGTGACATCATGCATATATACTTACACTATAACAGTAAAATCAAGACATTGAAAATGAAATCATTTTTGAAAATTGGACGTCATAAAAAGTTATTGATGAACTAATTCATTGATTCGTTTATGTACATTTACGCATTTATATTGTTTTTCTGGATATTTTCCACTGCATTAATCATCTTCAGGATGTGAGGTTGGGAAAAAAGTGTAATGCTGCAAGCAATGCGCATAATTAGGCATAAGGATAGGTTATTCCTTCGTATAGTCATAAGCTTAATATGGTGCACTAAATAGTATGATTTTTCATGAATATAGTTACATGAAACTAAACAAGAAAATTGAACTAAATGATAATACTGCAGGGGTAAAAACTAAACAACCGTTTATCTCGTATGGTTAAATTTTATTGTTACACATAGATTTTAATGCTACATTATGCCCTTGCTACTGGACTTGCTACTGGAACCAAAGATTCTAACATTAGTTTCTATGTAAGAACAGTCAGTAAGCAGTGTGTACTTACCACTGTGAATAGGCACAGCACAATACAAGGTCATGACGACCACAAGACATAATAGATTTCCACCGGAGTAATGAGTATCCATGTTGTAATGTGAAGATGCAATATTCGAATGTGCTTCATCGCAGGGGGAGTTGCTGTCTTATATATTTGTTGTCAGTGTATGTTGTACAATGTCCCGTGACCGGATCCCGAATCCCGTCAAAGTTTGATCGATAGCGCTCTACGTTGATTGACGCGGCTTAAGACTCTCTTACCTGTAACGTTGTGTCACTGGTACAAACATTTTAATTAAATTCAACACTTAAGGTGTTCTCGGATTTTGGCTGGTAAATCATTAAAGAAATGTCAATTCGGAATTTTTAGACTCAAATTTGAAAAAATTCTATTTTTGTCTACTAAAAGTGAAATAGGAAAGTAAATATGGATATATTATTTTATTAAGGAAGTAATTGTTTGTGCACTAGGAAATTACACTATGTACCCATATGACGTAAGAAAAATAATAACATTTTGTTTCTAACACCAGCGAATGAATGATTTCCTTGTGAACATCACTTGTGCTCTTTGTTATTTGTATATTATTATTATTTTTTAAAGATTAAATAGAACCGGAATCTAAGTTATAGGTGATGGAATTGTAAGTAAATTTTAAAGACATATACCGCGTAATAAATCAAACGGTGACTTCAAATAAGAAAACTTTTTATAAAAAGATTACATAGAAAATCGTTTCTGTATTTCTCAATAAGAATGCAAAACCGTCGGTCATAAGTAGGGGGAAAAATCTTAGAAAGTTACATATTGACTTTGTACATAAAATATCTCGTTAAATATATGCAACAGTTTATAAATTAAGAATCAATATATACTTCGTGTAAAAGGGAGTTCACTTGATTAATAAAGTAAATGTTAATAAAAATTGAAAATCAACTTTTTAAAGTTTTCTGACATATAAGCGGAAAAGAAGTATTTTTCTTAAACTTATCAAAAAATCTTAAACAATATTACTCAATGTTCAGATAGGAACGTGTAATGTCATAGATGAAATGCAATGATTTCGGTTATAAATTTCATGTTTGACATAAAAATAATCTCATCAAAGCAAACTTGGAAAAAAATATTTTAGTAATTGTAAAATAAAAAATGAGTTAAAATGTTATTGAGATGATAAGAAATTCTAGAAATATACATAAAAAAGACATGTACGTGTATTTAGCTATATAACATTTATATCCAATGCATTTCGAAATATATATTGAGTGTTTTTAGGGAGTCATATTTTTGTGAGATTTTATTAGTGGCATACATATTTGATTTTGATTTAAGTCATGATTTAACAGATTGTTTATCAAAATATTGATTTCTTAGTTAAAATAGTACTAGTAAATTCATATGAGAACATTTTTCAGAGAATTTAACAAGACAGCAATAAGATGAAAATAAGTCCACTCATTATGAAGCTTTATTAACATTTTCTTCATTTTTAAATCAATTAAATTCCAGTAAACTACGACGTTCCAATCCTATAGCGATTAATAAAAAATCAATATTATTTTAACCAATGAAATCGCCTACTTTGAAGCCTACAATTTTCATTGGTCAATAGTGCCTGTAGAAGTGAAATAGTGATAGTATGTAAAAGAGACGTTATACAGTAATGCGCCTGTACTGCCTGCATGTGTCATTACAAAACCTTGACAGGTCTTTGAATATAATCTGAAAATAACAAACCCATAAAACAGAATTTGAAGTTTAAAGTCAATCTTCTTAATATAAAACAATTTTATTATTGTGATACATATCAAACAGCCGTGTGGCCATGTCGCCAATTGAAATGAGATAAATTTTTGCAATTACCAAATTAAAAAAAAAAATTGAAAAGAAAAGAAAAAAAAAGAGAAACATATATATTGAACAAGAATTTTTAAAGAAAATACATATTGCGAAAGCCTCATCGTTTGAAAATGTTTTTCACAACCCCATGATCAATCATATATTCATAATATATATAACTTTTGAGATTTTGATTGTATTTTTGTTAGAATCAAAATCTTTCCAATATTATCAGTATTTTTTACCCAATTTTTCTATATTCGATTCTTTTTCTTAAAGTTATAACAAATCGTATCCTTTTTTTGGAAATATTTCTTAGACACTTCATTTTTTTTAACAATTATTATCTGTAAATATAAAAACAATATGAAATTAAGAAAAGTATTTTTATTGTGATTGATAATTGCCATTGCGGTTAATATTTCAGCGCTTGGAGAGGTTTGTGGTTTTTTTATTGTAATTAAATTTTGATGCAGAGCAGGGAAGAATTCAACTAAATGCATAATGTCAATAAAACATATATACCATAAAAAGAGAATTAAATTATTCATAAATAAACATAGTTAAGTTGATCTTTTTGTACTCCTTTTTAGTGAAGAATTAGAGAAAGCAACAGTTAAAGATGCTTATTGAAATTTAATATTATTGAAATCTTTGAAAACGATTGATCACAAACAGCAATTGGTATTTGTCTCAAGAAACAAAATTTTATTTATCATTTTTCCTAGAATAATAAAACCCTGATAAGTTGAAGGATCTAAAGGCAAGTGTCATTGAGAAAAGAATGTAGACTCCGATCTAGTAATTTTTTCCCTATAATTTATAAAAAAACCTATCAGATTTTGCATTTCAAGGTCATCTTTTCTCTTTTTTACTATATTTTGATGTCACATCATACAAGGAATTGCCTTGCGTAAATCGGAGAAAATAGCTATATTTTTCAAAACATATTTTGTATGCATATATTTGAGTAGTTTTGTTTGTGGTCACCTAACAGGTTAATGAATAAATCAAATTTCTTATTTTTGAAAATACAAATATATTCCTTATTTCATGGAAACTTCAAGTTTTCATTCAATTTTTTAAAAAATATTTTACATGCAAAACATTTTTTTCTGAGAATACATTGTATCGCTTAATAAATTGTTTCTCTCTCTAAATAGAAATCAAAAATTAATTTGATCGCAATTCTTATTTATGTGCAATCCACTTTTTATTGTTTCGTCATTTTGATATATGATGCATAATATTTGCATTAATTCACCTATATTGATTGAATCACAACAATCTCTTTTAAGGAATCTGCTATGCAACAATTACTTTAAAGTACTAACTGCAATGTTTAATAAGACCTTGTGGAAAGGAAGCAAACGACCTTGGAAAAATAGGAAAGCCCGTAAAAAATACCAATATTTTTAGGCTGATAACTACAAAATTTGTCAGGATATATGTCAGAACTCTTGATTTGTTTGTATTATGTCCCTCGCTGTTTAACGATGAGAAAGCTGAAGATAACTCAACCTCATAATTCTTGTAAACAATACAAACGTGACCAGGGCAAAAACACAGACTCCTTAAAATACCAGAGGTGGGATGAGATGCCTAAGAAGAGTAAACGCCCTCTGTCGATCGGTCCCACGTGACTCGCGGTGAGCCGGTAAACGGATTGTTCCCTAGTCAAAATTAGTTTTAAAACAATGGCCTAACAACTGGTAAAGAATTTTCAGTCAAAATACGATCCAATTAGATAGGATGTATTTGTAAACGAGCTTAATAAAATGACCATAGAATATGCAAAATGCTGATTTTGTGGAAATACCTATAGCATCAATTTATTTTTCAGTAGCCTACCTCGGTTTAAAAAATGTACCATACTCAGAAAGTGCTTTTGCGGTTGTTGGAAGACATAAAAACCATTTGCAGATGATCGTGAAAATATTACTACATAAATCGGGGGAGTTGACGATGGAAATGTTGAAGTCATTAAGTTTGTCATAAAGTTTTTATCTAAATTGAAGACCAAATTAAAGCAATTTTTTCTTCTTCTCATGTAGAAGTTTTTGAATTAATTCTGCTTCTAAAGAATATAAAACAGGTTGATATTAAAGAGCATAATTAGTGTCCATCTGAAAACCTTTTGATGATATAGAAGGCCTGTACTCGAAGGACTACATCGATACTGACAATGAGGAACCCCAAGCATCCCAATATCATCTTCGTAGTACTTATGTGTAGAATCAGAATGATTTTTAATATAACAATTTTATAGGTGGCCAATCAAAAGATGAAAATTTCCAAGTTCCGTTTCTTTTTGAGGAAGCAGTTGTCAATGGAGACAAAAAGCCTGTCTTAAATTTATTATGATGAATGGTTGTACAAAGTGTAGAAAAATAATATATAAGGATGTTATTGATTTAAAAAAAAAATTCAAATTTTCTAAAAGTCTTTTAAAGTTTTTGAGAAACCACATGTGATAAATAATGCGTCTTGAATATGATGTAGCAAAGTGCGTCTAAAGTTTTTTGTAGGAGAAAATATATGGGCCTAATGGAAACCTATAGAATCCAGCAATGTATCTTACTCTGTAAGGATTTTTGTGAAGGTTTGGAATCCTGTATACAATGCAGGTACCGGAAATCTAATTTCACTTCTTTTGACCGGAAGGTTAAAATGTATTTTTTGAACAATGTCAGCACTTGAAAGGAAACGGTAAGTAGGAGATGGATTTTCAGAGATGTGGAGTTAAGGATAGCTTCTCTAAAATGCAACTGTAATAATGAGCCTTACAAAAAAATTTGTTACAAACCTTGTAAGCTTGAAAACTTATTGTTCAAGTAGTCATTTGCTGAAACTTTATTCCTAGGCTCTCCCTTTAAATTTCATCTATCTTCTTAAACATTGAAGCTGTAAATTAAGAAGCAATGATGTATTTCTTCGGTATTTGCTATGACTAATTATAGAATGAACATTGTAAATTTCACAATTATCAATCGACAGGTTAGATCTGTCATCTCCAAAATAAGTTTAAAAGTATAACCCTGAATAGCTCTATTATTTTTATGCTTGTGCATCGAAGCCAGTGTAATAAAGTTTCTTAATCGTATCAGTGCTTTAGATTTGGAGAAGAGCTTGAATAATAAAAAGGAATTCTAGAGGACCTCGGTACAGACAATTGATTTTGTTGATGTTTACTCTAAAAGTACTTATTCTAAAATTAGTGATGCCTCCAAACTCTTACAAATAATATTTATTTACTCAAAAAAGTTTAATATCCATTTAAGAAAATGCCTGTCATGGTAAATACATGTATATAATAGTATTTTGTTTCTTTGCAAATCATTGGCAGTATAGGTCCCCCCGATTTTCTAAACATGTCTGAAAGTGCTGCAAAATCAATTAATGTCAGATGCAAACGTGAATGTGGGAACTATTCTTTTTTCTTATACGGAAAAAGAAACTTTTATACATATTTAGCCTGCTCTTACAAAATGGACTCTTGATACGTGTGTCTGCTTTACTTTATTATTATTATTTCATATTATTCACATACCCTAACCTATTCATGTGACCCTAGACCCTATACCTACATGAATAGATAGATGTATTTGTAATCGAAAAGTACAGTTTCATTCAAAAATTGATATATTAAATAAAT